CCAGGGGGGGCGCCGGCGGGTCTGGGGGCGCCTGGGGCAGGGCCAGACGGGCCATCTGTTGGGAGAGGACAGAGGGTTAGGGACAGGCCAGGGGTGCAGCAGGGGGCCGGGGAGGGGTGCTTGCAGCCTCCGCTGAATCAGGTTGGGGGTCCAGGCTGTGTCTGTGGCCTCCGGGGCGGGGGTGTGGGTAGGGTATGTTTGTTCTAGGATTACCTTTTTTTTTAATCCTCGCCCGAGGATATTTTTCCATTGATTTTTCTTTTTAAATATATTTTTATAGATTTCAGAGAGAGGAAGGGAGAGGGAGAGAGAGATTGAAACATCAATGATGAGAGAGAATCATTGAGCAGCTGCCTCCTGCACGCCCGCACTGGGGATCAAGCTCACAACCCCAGCATGTGCCCTTGCTGGGAATCAAACCTCAACCTCCTGGTAGTGGAAGAGAGAGAGAGACATCGATGTGAGAGAAACACATTGATTGGTTGCCTCCTGCAGGAGCCCTGACCAGAGCCTGGGCTGGGGAGGAGCCTGCCACCAAGGTAGGTGCCCTTGACCAGAATCGAACCCAGGACCTTTTGGTCCACAGGCTGATGCTCTATCCACTGAGCCAAACCAGCGAGGGCTCTAGGATTTTTAAAAAAATATTTTTAAATTGATTTTTAGAAAGAGAGGAAGGGAGAGGGAGAGAGAGAAACATCGACGTGAGAGCGTAACAGTCATTGGCTGCCTCCTGCATGCCCCCTACCAGGGACTGAGCCTCCAAACTGGGAATGTTGGGCTCAGAAAGCAAGCAGAGACTGTGCCCAGGAGGTGGGAATCTAAGGCCGAGGTTCCAGGGCCACGTCCAGGGGGGTGGGGGCCAGGTCCGGAGAGTCAGGGCGGACCCTGGTGCTGGGTCGGGTGGGCGCTGCGGCCTCATGTGGGGGCCGGGCCTGGGTCTGAGGCTGGGGTCTTAGATCTCAGGGGCTCTGGGGTGAGGGCTGGGCCTCGATGGGTCTCAGACCTGGGAGCTGGAGTTTGGGGTCCGAGGTGTTGGGGCTGAGGCCCAGGGGGGCCCTTAGGGTCTTAAGTCTGTGGCTTTAAAAGACCCTCAGGGTCTGGGGTTCTCAAGGGCTCACAACCAGGATTAGAAGTCCCGGTGGCTCAGGGCTCAAGGCCTGGGGTCTTTTGTTGTTGTTAATCCTCACTCCAGGATATTTTCCCATTGATTATTAGAGAGAGTGGGAGAGAGAGGGAAAGACAGAAAAGCATCAATGTGAGAGAAACACATCAATTGGTCGCCTCCTGCACGCGCCCTGACCAGGGCCCGGGAGGAGCCTACAACTAAGGTACGTGCACTTGACCAGAATCGAACCTGGGAGCATTTGGTCCTCAGGCTGTCACTCTATCCACTGAGCCAAACTGGCTGGGGCTGAAGTGGAATTTCTTAAAGTATAATTTCTGTG